CTGTTCCCATTCTCTCATATGGTTTACACACACCCTACTGAACTTTCATAATGTAAAAACTGTATGTCCCCCTCTGTCCCACAATGTATGTAACTACCACTTGTGCAATTTCCCACAAAATAGGCAGATTCATGTGTTTTTTTGTGTAGATATGAACCATGAATTCTGAAAAGCCTTTCTATCCAACATATCTACTCTTTGCATAGTTTTATTGGCAATCATATCCACAGTGTCAAATCCCCAATCACTCTGCTGCAGCTTGGCAAATTGTAAATCCCTTTCTATAAGTTGACTCTACCCCTTGAGACCCTCAGCCTTTAGGATGAATTCAGAGGCTGTCAATACTATTCAAAACCTTGAAGTTAGCTGAGGAAAGACTTCTTGCCCACAAATTCCTTCTGTGGGATCTGCAATGCAGAGAATTGCTCTCTGCAGCTGCCACTGATATTCCACAGTAACAAGATATAAGTCTTATGAGAGTTGTGAGCTATGTGAGGGCTTAAGGATTTCTTCCCCTCATATTTGCAGATTAATGCAACATTTCAGCTTAAAATGGCATTTTAAATTTCAGCAGAACTAGAACTGGAAAAAGAAAAAGCTGGAGATTTCTTTTCATGAAAAATTGCTTTTAGCAAAAATTCAAACCTGTGCCATTTCCAATACATTTGTACAGTGTCTGTATTAGGTTAGAGTCTGAGATGCAAGATAAAAACTTGATTTACTTTGGTAACTTTCAGCTAGAAATCATGCCTGTTAACACCGAAGCAAGTTTCTGTTATAGTGGTTTCTTAGCCTGCAATGAGATATCAGTGATGTAACAGCACAATTAAATTACAAAACCACAAAAAGTACATGTCAAGAGCCTGGTTAAGGAACATCCTCCTTTAGTAGGAGACAATTCAACTAAAGGGAAATATTTGCCAAAAAGTACTTAACTGCAATAAAATTATTTTTTAAAAAAATCATCTCATACAAGTAGGACTTTGCCAGCAAAACAGAAAAACTAAGAAAAATGAAATTCATATGTTCTAAAATTTATCTCAGTACTAAACAGTAAGATCTCTACTGAGATTGAGATTGTAGCAAAAATACTGTATTAATATAAATTTTTGAGATCTGAATGACAAAAGCCTACCAAGAATATTGGGAAAACTGTTACACTAATAAACAAAATCTCTCCTGCTCATTTCTTGTTTTGGTTTCTGCCCTTTGATGGGTACGTTAACAGCAAAGCAAATACAAAATTCAGTTTTCAAAAGGTATCTTCTCTACTGAGTTTTCAACTCTGTCACTAGAGAACAGAAAAACCACTGAGAGGAGAGCACAATGAGTGATAAATCCATCCACATGTAGTAACTGTTTTCTTCAGTTACCAACTGACTTTTAATGAGCACTTTAAAAAAAACACTTCAATAACAGAAAGTTGGAGAACTTTTGGTTCCAGAGATAGCCCCCAGTACAACCATGAAAAAAGACCTCCAAGATAAGGCTAATTTTTGGTGCATTCTCACTGTTTTGACAACAGAGTATAGAAAAGGTGTCTCATCCACCTTTTCAATCCTGTAACGGACATTAATCCATGAAACTGCGACACACTGCAGGCTTAAAAAGTGTTAAGATTTAGTTTTCTTTTGTGTGTCAAATAACACAAGCTTCAGAGTTGTGCATGGTTTTTTGTGAGCTTCTCACAGGAATCTCTCCCCACAACTTACCACACAGTTGTCACCCCACACTTCACAATGACTGAAGCTCTTTCTTGTTTAGCAAGAAAGAAAACCCTCCATTCTCTTCAGACATAACAAAGGGTTAACTTCCCAACCGGAGAAGTTTCAGTCTGACTGTCCTTGCTTCACAGTAGGATAGTGACAGATTCCAGGAAAATGCAGCCAAGTAAGGAAAACACTTTGGTCAAGCAAATATATTAGGCAAACCCCAGTGTCAGAGGCACAAAGACTGGAACAGCAGAAGTCTGCACTGTAAAGTTAATGCCTAGTTATTTTTACAGAAATATTTTTCTCACTTAAAAATCTTCTCAACAATCTTGGGAGGTTAAAAAAAGGTGGTTGCATGATAGCTTAAAAGTTAGAATTAAGCCCAGCATCTAAATAGTTCAAAAACAGATCTGTACTTCAGGCTACAAAGCACTAATATGTTAAATTGCAGCATTCATTTTGAAACTGAAGATAAAAGGAAACCTTGCAAACATTACAAAATCTTACCATTAAAAACCAGATACTTGTCTGTTTTCACACAGAACAATCAAGGAAAATATCCAACTCAGGCATTATTCTCTGTTTTACTATTATCATCAAAATTTTGCAACAGCCAAGATTAATGAAGTCAGAAGAGCAAATAAAAACTCTTTTGAAAACATCCTCTCTCTTCTACTGGTCAGAAAGATCACTGGTTTTATCACCACTTCTTCCTACACATTAAATGGTTCTAGTGGAATAAAAAAAAATCACACCACAAGTTAACAGAACAATGCATTCCCTAATCAAAGGATACAAATTTTATACATGCATGTTTTAATCATCTGAATTTCACACCCATTTTCATATTAAACAGAAAATACAACCTAAGCCTATTCACTCAGGAAAAAAAAAAAGTATTTCCACAGAGATAAAAATATGAAGGAGCAAGGAAAAAAAATTAGAACCATGAGAAACACAAGGGCTACATTTATAGGAACATAGCCATTTACAAAATGCCTTTTTTTAATGGTTGCCTTTCAAGCTGTGCCAATACCACAACGAACATAAAAGATCTGCCTCCCTAGCAGATTTAGAAGAATAAGCAATTACTACATTAGAGAAAATAGGCTCAGAAATTTCCACCAATTGGTAGTTGGCAGTAAAGCAACTCTTTATGTGCCAAACCCCAAAAAGCCCTTCGGCACCAACCTCTACGTATACCAGCAGTGAACAAACAAATTTTAAAAATCCCTACTGCCTCAAACTGGGGTCAGCCCTTCACTTTGGGGAAAGAGAAATAAACAATAAATAAAACAAGAACTCTCCATGCTACAAAGTAAGCAGTAGAAGGCTTTTATTTTTTGTCAGGGTGTTTGAAGTCATAGGTCTTCTCTTTGGGGCACTCCATTTCACAAGCTCTTAAAACACAGTTACACTGTGGTTGTGCAACAAAGGCTCCTTCCCAAAGTCTGGGGAAAAGCACAAGGCCTGTCTTCCCAATGGAAGGGAGGTCTCCACATTTACACCCTGCCCCTGCTGGAACACTTTACACAGAGAGGCAGCTGCATGCAGCAGTTCTCCATAAACTGTTCACAGTCAGAATTAGGGATTTCTCAATCCCGCCTGAGAACACTCCCACAGCTGCAGTCCAAGTTCACTGACTGCCTTTCCACAGAAGGGGAGGAGGTGGTCCTGCAGCAAAAAAAATCCTATTTTGGAACATTATCAGTAATTGGTCATGCTCACCATAGACTGAAGACAGTCATCATCCACCATGGGTGATGGCAACATGCAAGCAATGTATGTGATATTTAATGTTAACTACTTTTATTGATCCCTGATGCACTACTGCATTTTCCATACCAATGCAGATCAGTGGGTTTCTGCTGTTCTAACAATGCAAGAAGAGGTGAAGATGAACTGACAATCCCAGCTTCTGCAGTTTCCCTTACTGACTCCCTACTTGTTTGAGAAGACCAAAATCCTGAGACAGTGTCAGAACACTTCACGGGCAGAAGACACTCATTACTGCATAATAAATATCCTCAAAGCTATTTTATTATTAATTAAATTAAACATGACAAACATTGTTTGGATGTTCCTAGGAAGGATCCTCTGTTAAGAAGCAGCATTAACAAATCTCATTTAAAACCAAACCTATTAGAAGAACTAAAGAGCACATCATTGTGCTGCCACCAAACACTGAAAATCAAGAGTTTCAGTGATGCTTTTGCCTTGCTATATTTTCATCAAAACACAGAAGTTGTTCTTTTCACATATTTCCTTACAAGAAGTGTATCCAAGCACACAGAACATAACCAGAGACAGAGCTCATACTGAGACAATCTAAGTGCACTTGTTCTGCAATACATAATATAAAAATAAAATATATTGAACATAAAAATGCCCACATCTCTGAACACAACTGAAACTTTTACAATTACTTCATGCAGATGTATCGATATGCAGGTGTATACAAATACCTCTTGAATGAGCAAGGATATCAATGTTTAGTCAACAGTACAAGAGTCTGGGTATCTGGTACCTCTGTGCCTGTGTTGCTCTATTACTGAATCACAATTCTGTCAGAGTTCCACAGCAGGGTCAAATAAAAGTATCAGGTATCAAAGTCCTCTTCTATGAAGGGCTGAGTCATTAATGTGACTGATCAACACCAAGTGTGTTCCTGACACTTTAAACAGCTGCAGCAGAACATCCTGTGAGCCACTCCTTTGTATTTCTGTGCAAGAATACACACCTACCACATCATTAACCCTAGCTTTGTTTTTGCAGACATAAAACTAAAAGCAAAAAAAAAGCAAGTTGCAAAGATGTGACCACCCTCCCAGAATGATTCATTTCAGATACAATTCTTGACCTCAGCTCATGTCAGTTACCATCTCTGGAAACAGCAATCTGTGGAAGTGCAGTGGAAGGAGACATTGATATTTTTCTTATACCACTCAGCCACTATGTGGTAGTCTGAAAACACATAGATATCTTAACAAGTTCAAATGTTTCAAATAAATTGTATTACTCAATAAACAGTCACATTTTTTGAGCAATGCAAAAAGGCTGGCATAAAAATAATTTGTTTTACTTGAATGTAAAGATCCACTTATTTTACACTATAGACAATTCTAATTTTGTTGTGTGTATTAATATTTTAATAAAACTTTTAAAAGTTGATTTTTTTTTACTGTCATTATTCAGAAGCAGATGAAAGCATACACAGTAATGAGAACTGAACTAATGAAAACTGAGCATCTCAGATTATTAGATGGCCACAGCAGTTTATTCTCCTACCTGCTTCCCATCCAGTGTACAAAGTCTCTTGACTACACCCGAGTCTAACTTAATGGCTTCGGTGATGTCATTCAAGACCTGTTCGAAGGAGTGAGCAGTCTTCTTGTTCAGCAGAATCCTCACAGCTTTCCGTGGCTTTACCCCACTCCTAATAACAGTCACCAGCTTGGGTTTAATGAAATCTTTGCTCTCCTTCACCTCGCTCCTCGTGGATGTCAAGGACGTCAAGGACCGACTGGACCCAGTCCGTATGTTCACGCACCAGTTTGGGTTGACATTCTTGGTGTAATCAACTTTGCGATATGGCTCATTGGATGCACACACATAGCTCTCACCTGAAAGGAAGAGGACATGTTCACAGTTTAAGGGGGTTTGCAGCTACTTTGTCAACTTAAAAGCCAGAAAAACCAAAAAAGAGAAATATTTTGGGAGTGATTTTCCTGTATTTTGACAAGGAGGACTGTAAATTACCAGAGCTTTCCACCCAAACAACACTCTCATAGAGTGCTTCCAACAGGTTTCAACAGACCCCTGGTATAAAAAATAGTGGGCAATGAAGAGGTTCAAGATATTTCACATGTCTTTTGGATAAAGTCATTTTGCAAGTGCTTAAATTACTTGAGCTCAACACATGACATTAAGAGCTTTCTCCTTCAGCAAATATCCAGGTCCCCTCCTATATTTCCCTCAACCTTGTATTTCAAGATATGCACACCCATGTCTGTGTTTATTTTACAACAGCAAGTTTTAACCGAATAAATTTAAGCACTTCAAGACCCTTATCCTGAAAGGCACATTAATCTACCAGGAGTTACTGCCTTTCTATCAAGGACACATATTTGAAATGCATCCACTTTGATATTTTTTAGACCATGAACACCTCCTGAGGCCACAAATGAGTATTTGAGAGTAGGGGAGGATAACAATACATTTACACTTCCCCATTTTTAATTTCTTTCCTAACTCAAGGCTGGTTTGCAGTTTTTTTGGTGGTTTTGTTTTGTTTTGCTTTTGTGGGTTTTTCTTGTGTTTTGCTTGTTTGTTTGGGGTTTTTTGCTTTGTTTTATTGGGTTTTGTTGGTTTGTTTGGTTTTGTTCCTTTCTTTGTTTTGTTTTTAAGGAAAAAAAAGAGGAGGACTACTTGCAGCTTATGACAACACTTTTGACACCTGACAGCAATATGCAAGATGTAAACCATGACAAGGACATCTTTAACTCTGGGTTATTTGTGTAACCCACATCGTTGAGATGTCACAAAATGACATCCCAAGACATTCTTGAAAGGGCAGAGTATTGCCAGAACAATGAATGGTGAAGCATTCAAAACTGACAGAATACACCACTGCTCCAGACAGAAGAGCTACCTATATCTTAAAAAGCTTAGCCTGTTGTAAAATTAAAGCTACACAGTCAAAGTCACTGGTGGAAGAAACCAAACTCACTTCTAACATGCACAGAAAGAGAAGCAAACATGCATCTAGGGGACAGAATTGTAAGAGTTACAAAATGTATGCCTACATTTAGATACACACTAGAAAACTTTTAAACAACACTTTTGCATTCTGAACTCCAGTTTGGAGAGCTGATTTATCTTAGAAGTTGCAGAGCTTATTCTAAAACAAAGATACTGAGCTACTTTCAAAGCCCTGAAGAATTACCATGAGCTGAAAGATTTTCTTGTTTCTTTTCCAATACTAATTACACTGCTTTGTAATTTATCTTGTATTTAGACCTTCTTGAAAGTCGACTCACTGTATGTGAAAGAACACAGATTATAATTAAGCCAAGTTAACAATGATTTTGTTTGGGAAATTCTGGCAGCCAGTTCTGCCTCCACAAACATCACTGGGGACTGTATTCCACTCAGGTACTAGGAAACTGGGGTGAAGTCCCATGGATGCCACTGCTTTGCCTGTACTTTTCCTCTTCACTCATCACCCATCACCATCGCTCCTCCTCATATTGACAGATCAAGTGGTGCAAGAAACAAACTCATGCAGACAAAACTATACTCCTCCTCCTTCCTGAAAAAAAATTAGTTAAGAGAAAGGAGGTGTTCTCAGCACACAAACTCCTTGACAAACAGCTGCATGCTGCACACTAGCACCAGCTTACAGGTAGGAGAAAAAGAACCCCAAACTCCACACAGCTTTGTAAGGACTGTGGTGTCTAGAAGCTCATGCTGCCCCACAACAATGCACTAAATTGTAAGATATCTCCAAGCAATCTGGTTTTATCAAACCTGAGCAAGATATTGGATGAGATGACTTCAGAAAGTCCCTTTCAAACTAAGAGATCCTATGATTTTAAAGATACGCAGCGTTCTCTTCCAACAGCTATTTTGGTCATCTATCCTGTTATTGCAAAACAGCGTGAGATATTCCAGTTTTGTGGCAGCAAGCTCAGCTACAATAGAAAGCAAAGGTTTACCCCTGCACATCTTCTAAAACTAGATTGAAAGGACTGTGCTTGGTGTCTGGACAGTAAGTCTGTCTTCAAACTCAGTGCTGCCAAAGGAGAAGCTGGTAGTAGTCCCACTCAGTAGGACAGAAGAGGCAGAATCAGAAGGGTAAAATAAAAAACTCATGGACTGAGATAGAGACAGTTTAATAGGGAAAGCAAAAGCCACAGGGGCAAGCAAAGATAAACAAGGAATTCGTTCACCACTTCTCAAGGACAGGCAGGTGTTCAGCCTCTTCCAGGGAAGCCAGGCTCCACCATGGTAATGGTGGAAGGGAATCCAGGTGCTTTATCTCTGAACTTTCCTCCTCTTCTTCCTTCTTGCCCCAGATTTATAAATAGAGGACGTCATATGGTCTGGAATATCACTTGAGCCAGCTGGGGTCAACTGTCCCAGCTGTGTCACCTCCCAGTTTCATTTTCCCCCAGCCCACTCACTGGTGGGATGGTGTGAGAAGCCAAAAAGGCCTTGGCTCTGTGTGAGCCCTGCTCAGCAGGAACAAAAACAGGGCCCTGTTATCAACACTGTTTCAAAAACATAGCCCACACCAGCTACCATGAAGAAAATTAACTCTATCCCAGCCAAAACCAACAAAAGCTCTTGGGACAGTCTGTCCAGCTGTGTGCAAAAGAGCTTTAAATAAATTCCACAAAGTACCTCAAAATTCACCATCACTGACAATGTTCAAAACTATCCTTTCCAACTCAAAAACAATGTACTTCCTAGACCATAAAAAAACCCCAACCCAACAAATGCACAAAAATCAAGATAATTCAAAGTTAAATCTCAGGGCTGAAATTTAAATTAACAAAGTTAAAAATTTTCAAAACTAAAGCTACTCAGAAACAGTCTCAAACTTGAAGTGAATTAATTGCTTTATATAAAGTAAAGGTAGAGGACAAAAGGTCTCTTTGCTCAAGGATTTATCATAGCAAAGATTCAACAGGCATGCTGGCTTTGTCTCTTACAGACTCATAATCATAAATAGAGCATCTTCTTTGTACTGCCATGGAATGTGATCTATCACAGCTGTGCTACAGCACTCTATAGGACAGCAGAAATTGTACTTCTGTAAAATTTTCCGTCAATATTAATCCAAAAGGATCTATATTTCTTTAAAATAGCAGTGTAAAACTTTCTGTCTCCTACTGCTTCCCTTCCTTGATGCATGAACAATTGCTCGACTATATCATAGTGGTCTTAGGCAGATTTCTTCTCGTAACTTTTTTTCCTTTAAGCAGAGGCCATAGTAAAAGAAGTCAGGAAGTGCTTTCAAGTTAAAACAATGTAATAACTTAAAATAAAGAATTTCAAATTATTTGTTTCAGCTGCATTTAGCCAAGACTGAAGTTGAAGCACAAACTATTTTACTTAAAAAAAATATAAAATCTGCCAAAATGAATTGAAAATTTCCTATAGTTGGCAGATACAGAGAAGTCTAATTACTTGAGAATACAGTATATTACAGATTGTTTAGTAAATGCTTTAAAGTCCATGCCTGCTTTTATATACCAGACATATAAAGTGAAGAAACGCAAGTTTTACATGGAAAACCGATTTTACTACTACACCTGCAAGGCAGGCACATATGGCAAGACTAGAGCAAGGGCTGTAAGTGAGAAAACACATTCACTGTGTGGTGTTCTTGTTTCATGACTTAAAGGGTAAAGTTTTCAGATTAGTACTTAAATCTCTATTTTACCACAGCCAGGACTTCACCCACAGTTTCTAAGTTCTATTTAAAAACTTTCAAAATACAAAAAACCCAAGAAACAGTACCATTAAGAAGCCAATTGCTTTCCTCTGGATAAAGAATGGTTTTCTAGGAACGAGCTAAACATTTATTTGTTTGACAGGGGTATACAATTCACTACTTTCCAGATGAAAACATGTAAGGAAAAAATGGCAGGGGTAACTTAAATCACACTTATAAAGTTAACTTCAGGAAACTCCAACAGAATGGTGTATTTAAAAAGCACGCCTGAGAAAACACCATCCCTTGACAAGCAAACATCAATAAAGGTGTGCTATTGTTTAAATTATTGTGGTCATCCTCCAAAGTAGAAAATGCCCTTATGTATATCAGTTTGGAAGAAATATCATGTCATTCGTAGAAGTATTATCTCCTTTTTACATTATTTTTTGTAGGTAAGAACCTGAAAAAAATATATATACACCATATATATATACCATATTTACTCACAGCTTTCATGTATGACCTGATTTTAAATCTGTCTGGGATTAATTCATGTATAAGTACACACTTCTGATGTGTACTCTCCACAATCTTTCAGAAAACTAATATATGTAAAATACAACAAACAATACATGATCTTTGAGGGAGTCTAGAAGGGTTGAACCAATCAAATTGTTTTCAAACATTATTGAAACTAACAGATACGTTTATAGTTGAAAACCACAAACATAAATAAATTTGACTATTTCACTGACTGTCTTGATTGAGATTTTCCATGAGAATAACCTAAACGCATATCATCCCAAATAAAAGGAAATATTTTATGAGACTTTAGCAGCATTTTGATCAGGCTGTAGCTTTTTTCTTTTTGCATTTTTACATCTACCAGCCAAGAAAGTTGACACGTCTCCAAAACCAGGCATAAACAATAATTCAAATATTTACACTGCTGACTTCAATATGGTCAATTTTACCGTTTGAAGGCCCACCTTCCATTTATATTCTTGAAAGATAAAGCTAATGCATACTAGCTTTATCAAAGCTAATGCACACTAGCAACTAGCACAGAGTCATAGCAATTACATTATGGAAAGTAAATACCATGTCTCTAGGTCCAAGATTGGTATTAGCATGAATCAGCTCCCCAGGTTTCAGACCAGAGCACGAGTTTAGTCTCTA